TCATTCTTTTGTTTTTGTTTGATTGATTCTTGCTCCCTCATAGAGTCATTAGCTTCCATTTGCCAAATTCTAATTTTTAACAAATTGTTTTCTTCTATTAGATTTTGTATTTCCTTTTCCATTTGGCCTATTTTATTTTTTAAGGATTTCTTTTCCTCAGTGAGTTTTTGTGCTTCCTTTTCTGTTTGGCCAATTCTGCTTTTTAGGGAATTGTTTTCTTCAGTTAATTTTTGTCTTTCCTTCTCCAAGCCATTGACTCTCTCTTCCATCCCTCTCATTTCTTTTCCCAATTTTTCTTTTATCTCTTTTATTTGACTTTTAAAATCCTTCTTGAGCTCTTCCAAGAAGGCTTTTTGGGCTTGAGACCAGTTCATATTCCCTTTTGAGGTTCCAGATGTGGGTTTGTTGACAACGTTGTCCTCTTTTGAATTTCTGCCTTGATCTTCACTGTTACCAACATAGCAATCTATAGTATGTTTCTTTTTGTTCATGATGTTTGCTCATTTCCTGGCCTTTAAAAAGATTGAGCTCTCCTGCTGGGAGCAGGGGGCACTGACCCAACCTTTGGGAGCCCGGGCCCTGGTCACTGACTTTGTGTGCTGGGGCCTCCAATGCTGGAAGTTGGAGACTGTAGGGCTCTGGCAGCTTACTCAGTGTTGGGCTGGAATCAGCAACACTGGAACTCTAGGGGTAGGATTGGGCAGTCTGGCCCCTGGAGGTTGTTTGCTCACCCAGGCCTTTCCTTTCACTTTCTTTGGCTCCTTTCAGATGGATACTTTGCTGCTGTGGGATATTTCTCTACCTGAGGCTCTCCCCCTTGGAGCTGTGCTTCCAAGAGTTTTGCTGAGGCAGTAGGAGACTTGGCTGCCATAGAATTCTGTGGCACATGGTGGTTTTCCCAGCCAGTTTCCACTGGTTCCTCTGCCAATACTGAGGCACTCGGGGGTCCTGGTATTAGTGCTTTCCTGATCCTCCATCTGGGGTTCAGGATCTCCCCCTAGTATGCTGAGGTGGGGCTTTCCACTAGCTTGCTGGGACAACTCCCATTCTGTACTGCTTCCCCTAACCCAGGGCAAGAGGGGTCCTGTTAATCCCTCAAGCTTCCTGGGCTACCAGACTGCTGCACCCCATCTTTCTGCTGGTTCAACTGTTCCAGAGTTCTTCCTTCAGTGATATTTTCTGGGCTTTCAAAAGTTAATAAGGGACAGTGAAAGTGACTTACTTCTTACTCCACCATCTTAGCTCCTAGAAGTGGAATCTTAATATTCATTTTTAAAACTTTGAGTTCCAAATTCCCTCCCTTCTGCCCTCATTCCCTACCCTTATTGAGAAGGCAAGTAATTTGATATAGGTTATACATGTGTAGTCATGTAAAACACTTCCATTATAGTCATGTTGTGAAAGACTAACTATAATTCCCTATATCCTATCCTACTCTCCCATTTATTCTATTCTTTCCTTTGACTCTGTCCCTCCTCAAAAGTGTTTGCTTCTGATTACCCATTTCCCCAATCTGTCATCTCTTTTATCACCACCCCTTCTCCCCTTCTCCCTTATTTTCCTATAAAGTAAGATAGATTCCCATAGCCCAATTGAGTATGTATGTTATTCCTTCCTTAAACCAAATATGATGAGAGTAAGATTCATTCATTCCCTCTCACCTCCCCCCTTCTGTAAAAGCTTTATCTTGACTCTTTTATGTGAGATAATTTATCCCATTCTATCTCTTCCTTTCCCCTCCTCTCAGTACAATTCTTGCTCACCTATTATTTTTATTTTTTATATGTCATCCCTCCATATTCAACTCACCCTGTGCCATCTGTCTACATATATGTGTGTGTGTGTTATGTATGTATGTATGTATGTATGTATGTATGTATGTATATATATATATATACATAGACACATATATGCATATACACACATATGTATATATACAACATGTCCATACACACACACACACACACATACACATGCACATATATTCCCTCCAACTACCCTAATACTGAGAAAGGTCTCATGGGTGACAAATATCATCTTTCCATGTAGGAATGTAAACAGTTCAACTTTAATAAGTCTCTTATGATTTCCTTTTCCTGTTTACCTTTTCATGCATCTCTTGAGTCCCGCATTTGAAAGTCAGATTTTCTATTCAGCTCTTGTTTTTTCATCAAGAATGCTTGAAAGTCCCCTAATTAATTGAATATCCATTTTTCCCCAGAAAGATTATGCTCAGTTTTGCTGGGTAGGTGATTCTTAGTTTTCATCCTAGCTACTTTGACCTCTGGAATATCATATTCCAAGCCCTCTTATCCCTTAATGTATAAGATGCTAAATCTTGTGTTATCCTGATTGTGTTTCCACAATACTTGAATTGTTTCTTTCTGGCTGCTTGCAATATTTTCTCCTTGACCTGGGAACTCTGGAATTTTGCTATAATATTCCTAGGAGTTTGCATTTTGGGATCTCTTTCAGGAGGTAACCCGTGGATTCTTTCAATATTAGGGCAGTTTTCCTTGATAACTTCTTGAAAGATGATATCTAGGCTCTTTTTTGATCATGGCTTTCAGGTGGTCCAATAATTTTAAAATTATCTCTCCTGATCTATTTTCCAGGTCAGTTGTTTTTCCAATGAAAAACATTGCCTTCTATTTTTTCATTCTTTTGGTTTTGTTTTACAACTGCTTGATTTCTCAAAGAGTCATTAGCTTCCATTTGCTCAATTCTAATTTATAAGGAAGTATTTTCTTAAGTGAGCTTTTGGCCCTTCTTTTCAATTTGGCCAGTTCTGCTTTTTAAACCTCTTTTGCCATTTGGGTTAGTCTATTTTTTAAGGTGTTATTTTCTTCACTATTTTTCTGGGTCTTCTCTAGCAAGCTGTTGACTCGTTTTTTAAGTATTTTCTTGCATCACTCTTATTTCTCTTCCCAGTTTTTCTCTACTTCTCTTACTTGCTTTTCAAGATCCTTTTTGAGCTCTTCCATTGCCTGAGATCAATTCATATTTTTCTTGGAGGCTTTGGATATAGGAGCTTTGACTTTGTAGTCTTTTTCTGGTTGTGTGTTTTGATCTTCTTTGTCACCAAAGTAAGATTCTATAGTCTGAGGATTTTTTTATACTGTTTGCTCATGTTCCCAGCCAATTACTAGAGTTTTAAACTCTTTGTTAAGGTAAGGCTCTGCTTCCAGTGTGGAGGGTGTACTGTCCAAAGCTTTGGAGGCTTTGTGCAGCTGTTTTCAGAGGTACTTCTAGGGACCTGTAAATTTTCCATGCTTCCAAGGTGGTATGATCAAGGGTGAAGTGTTTACTCCTTTCCTGGCCTGGGCTCTGATCTATGAGTGACCACAAGCCCTCTTTACTGCTTGGAAGTGTGAGGTGGATTCACTTTCTACCGCCACTACAAGCTCCACCACTCCAGTGCTCCTCCTCGCCCAGGACCGCCACCCAGGAGTGTGACCCAGATCCAAGCACTGCAAAGCAAGAGAATCCTGCCTCAGCTCCAGCAAAGAGATCTTGGCAATCCACCACTGATCATCCACTTGATATACCCATGATCTGGGGGTTAGAGCTCCAGAAGCAGCTGCTGCCACTCACTCCTCTCACCCAGGTCTGGATCTCATGCCTCTCACCCAGGTCTGGCAGACCTTTCCCACTGACCTTCTAAGTTGTCTTTGGCATTTGTGGGTTGAGAATTCTGATAACTGCCACAGCTCCCCTTGATTCAGTCCTCTGAGGCCTACTCCAGGTTCGCTGAAGCCTGGTGTTTGCCTGCATGGCCCACGTTGAACTGTGCTCCTCTCCTACTCCGGTGCAACAGACCTTTCCTGTCAACCTTCCAGGTTGACTTGGGCTGGAAATTCATTTCACTCTGTATTTTGGGTTCTGCTGCTCTAGAATTTGTTTAGAGTCATTTTTTACAAGTATTTGGAGGGGGTTGGGGAGAGCTCAAGCAAGTCACTGCTTTTACTCTGCTATCTTGGCTCTGCCCCTGAATTTATTAATTATTAACAAAACATCAAAAAACCCAACTGGATCATTTTAGAGATCAGGCAAAAGTCAGATACAAGAGTGAGAGGTGACCTAAAAGAAGTGAGTATAGCCAGTCCCAGGAACTTAAACTTGATACACACACACACACACACACACACACACACACACACACACACACTTCCTTTGGATACTTCTTTTTACAGATGATATTGGTCTAGTTTGTTAAGACTTCCTCATTTAGATTATGCAAAAGATTGGTATAACAAACTAACTAGTAAAAAAAAATCAAAGGGATAAAAAGTGGCTGTTTTATAGCCTATGATAAGAAATTACAGGGTTATTCCATTAAGTTAATTCTCTGGTACATACCCCTATAGCACTACAGCTAGATGATGAGTTGGCCCCAGAATTGAACAGAAAGAGAAAGTATTCTATTACATTTGGAAGCTTGTGCAGCACTTTCTTTTCTCTCTCTTTTTTTTTTTTGGCTAGGCAATGGGGTTAAGGACTTGCCCAGGGTCACACAGCTAAGTAAGTGTTATGTGTCTGACACTGGATTTGAACTCAGGTCCTCCTGAATTCAGGGCTGGTGCTCTATCTACTGCACCACCTAGCTGCCCCTGCAGCACTTTCAATGATGCCAAGCACTTCCCTAGCATCAATACTCAAGTCTTTCATACAAAATTTCTTTCAGAAAAGCTATGTAATATTGAATCTCTTAAACTACAATCTCTAAAAGAATCAAAACTGACAAGGGTTGGCCAAAGTGGGCTAAAGCACATTGATAACAATGATCCACATGCAAGAAGTGGAATATCAAATACAAAGGTCCAGAGGAATGTTTCCAGAATATTGCACAAATTCCCTATGGGAGATCTATGGGAGAGTATGGACAAGAATTAGAAAGGATGAAAAGGTCTGGATGGGTTGTGGTCTATTCCAACGGAGGTAGAGAATACTCACATCCATGAGATCATAGATATATCGAAGTATTGTGACCAACACTGAAATTCTTCTGAGAAAACAACTTAATACTTTGATGTTTCCACAAAGAAACCTTCCTGAAGCCTTATTGTATCTCCTCAAGCACCATGTCATTTTTACATCTTTGTTTGAGTATCTATTTCTTCTTCATGACTTTCCTTTTCTTCAGAACCTGAAGCCTTGGGTGTCTTTATATATTCCAGAACCTCCACGGTCACATAGAGCACCATTGACAGAGTCAGTACCGAAAGTACTATGTATAGCTTGATGTAGACACACAAAAATGTGCTGTATCCAAAAGCAAAGACATATCCGAGGGACTCCCAAAGGCGATAGTTGGCAAAAGCAGCCTCCTTGTTCTTCACAAATAAAACTCCATAGAGTGCTGCAAGGAAAAAAGGAAGAAATGATAAATTTGTCCTGAAACCATGCTTTTTTTTTTATTTTTGAGACTAAGAACCCATGCATGTTCCCCAAATATTCCCATCAAAAGTAAATCTTCCATCTTGGTACTAGAGCTAAAACAAATTATTGTTATATGTTCAAGTTATTTTTTCTATGTTTCTGTAGAAGTGAAAAATAATAGCATGCTGTTATGAACTCATTATTATCTAGGCCAAATATAATATTCCAAAAGCAAGGACAAGCAAAAGAAGTGATAATAACAATTAGCAGCGTCCATCCAGTCATTCACAGAAGTAATTCAAGAATCACCTACATGTGTTCTATCTAATTCCATGTTTAAGAACTCTGACTTTCCTTCATCTGATCATAATCTTTATCTTTGCATCTTTCCCTATGCTTTATGACCGAGCATCCTTTGTGCCTTTCTGCCCTTCAAAAAAAGTCATATTCTAAAATAATGTCTCATCTCCCTTAGAAGATCGCTAACTGTGCTAATTGCTAATTTAGGATAAAGGGAGTAGGTATATTTTCCTTATCTGTGAAAAACCATGGAAGTCTTCTCTGGGAGAGTAAGGGGTACTTATTAAAGCTTGGGAGTCCTATTACTTTGCCAAAATGAGTCTTTATTTTGAAAGCAAAATTTAACCCACCATTAAACAGGTTGGTTGCCACTATAGACAAGAACTAGTAGAACTGGGAAATCAGTTCCATGAAAAAGGAAGCACTAATAATATGACTTATTTTTTCTATGTGTCCTGAGACCACCAAATTAGACTGATAAGACCTCTATAACTCTCTTAAGCTCTCCTCTTTGTTATTGTGATTGCTACTCTATTCTTATACCATGACTTACTCTAGGAAAACTCTTTAAAAAAACACCAAAAATTCCTATATTATTTTTAAGGGGTAGGACAAGGGATAAGAGAAAAAAAACCTGTATTCCCTCCACAAGGTTACAGTAATTTGAGGGGAAACAGGTATAGAAAAGAAGAGATTGACAGTTAGAAACCAGAAAGAAGCACCAGGTTCTCCTGTGAAACTCATTTTAAGTTTCACCTCTGATGAAAATGACTGAGAGGTAAGTGACGTTTATAAAGTGCTTATGTTATTGGATTTCTTTTCATCCTCACAACAACCCTGTAAATTAGGTGCTATTATTATCCCCACTATCCTAGCCCCAAACCATCTTCCTCTCATGGGTATTACTCCTTCTACCACACTGTAGGATAGAAGCAAACCATCTTCCATCTCTGTGCTGCTATTCTGGCCATCCTCCATGCCTGGAATGCCATCCCATCTCACATACTCCTTATAGAATCACTCTTTTTATATGCTTTTAAGGTTTGCAAAGTGCTTAACTTGTATGTGATTTCATTTGATTTTCACACCAATCCTGTGAAGGAGGTGCTGTTATCGCCATTTTAGAGAGGAGGAAACAACAATTGAGAAAGTTTAAGCAACTTGTCCAGGGTCACATAGCCAGTAAGTATCTGAGGGAGGATTTGAACTCAGGTCTTCCTGATTCAAAGGTCAGCACTCCATTCACTGTATCACATAGCTATCCTTATTCTGGACTTGAAGGGGATGAAGAGAAGGTCCTTATCTTATCAATTATTGACTGGCTTCTGTTTGAATGAACATATGGTGTCTAAACACTGATGTGCAGTAAATGAACTTTTATCCTTTTGCTTTCATCAAAATTTCTGAAATAGTGGAAATGAGCCCTCTCTTCCACAACTCTCAGACACACCTTTCTGAACAGAAGGTTGTTTTTCCTCTCCTTGCCTTAGGGCACCTGCCAACAGACTACTTAGTAGCTGTGAATCTGACAGCTGTGGAATCTCATATATGAAATGCCAAAATCTTTTGAGAATTATCTAAAAAATAATCAAATAGTGCAAAGTACATGGATTCGTATACTCCTGGGAACATTTTAAAACCCTCTCATTTCGTTTTTTTTTTTACAGAAGTCTTTAAAATTCAGTCCAAAAACAGAAGCAAAGAGAGGTAAATTTTAATTGAATTGAAAGCCATTGGTTATATTTTTTAATGCTACTTCCCTCTTCATAGTTTATAGGAGTTCAAACCAAATACAATAATGGTTTGGTTTGTTAGCTAACGTAATGTTGTGGGAAACTTCATTTTTAATCTAGATGCCATTCTTTTTAAATCCAATGATTGGTCTCCTTCAGTGATTTCAATTAAACCAAAATTTGAATTGTGTGAACAAGTCAAGCAATGAAGACGAGATAAGGCATTTCCTTGACTTTCTTGTTCTGGCCACCAAAGCACAAATCTATAATGTGAAGAGATGGGGCTATGGGGCTAGGGACCTGAATGGTAGTCTAGGCTCTGCCATGCACAGCTATGAAGTCAGCCATATCACTCAATCAATAATAAGTAGCAATAAGCTCTTACTATATGTACACCAGGCATTGTACTAAATGCAACATATTTAGTCTCTGTGAAAATTCAATTTCCTTATGTGTCAGATGACTGTTAGACTTGATTTCTCAGTTTCTTCATATCCCTAAAATGCTGTGATTCTTTGATTCCAGAAATTAGTATTCTATTAAAAAAAAAAGACCCTCAGGAAGGGGAAGAAAGAGCAAAAGTGTCAATTATTGTGGGATCTCTGAATTCAAATTCAGACAAATATTTCTGAAAGAGGAAAAAATTGGAAAGTAATAGAAAGAAAAGGGCACTCTTCCCTATGACTTGGAGATAATATATCTCTTAAATGCCAGTTAGTTAAAAGAATGGGATATAGAGTTGATGAAATACAATTGATTGGTGTGACTGGTTGGAAAATGACAAAAAAAAAAAGAGGAAGAAGACCCTCCTCCTCACTCCCACAAACTGGAAAGGCAAATCTGTTTGGCTATGGTTTTGGCCAGAGAGAATCTTCTGATAAGACAGAGGAAGGAATCCTTTATCCTCTTCCATCTGAGGCAGGAAATTGCTACTGGTTTGTAAGAGAATATGAAAGAGGAAAGCTATGAAGAATTATATTTACCCACTGCTAGGAAAGTATCTGATGCAGTATAAAAGATTTGTGGGGCGGGTAATAAGTGAAAAAATGAATACAGTACAAATATCTTACATATAGTAGGCACTCAATTAGGTTTGTAGAATGAATAGACTGTCCTCAGATGCATAAGCAGACCAGTCTTGGTTCAATAAATACCCAGAAAGAAAAAAAGCCTATTGCATCAAGTTGCAGTGGAAAGGAAATTCCACTGGGTTATGTTATGGTGGCAAAAGAGACAGACAAATAGGAGAAGAAAAAGAAACTTAAAATAGCATAGCTTTCCAGTCTATTTGTCTATCTCATTTTCCTGGATGGGCAAGGAATTGAAATGTGAAAGACATCAAATAATCCTGCCCTAAATAATGGGGACACAGAAAATTTCATCATAAGAGAAACTTTGAACACTTGTCCTGGCAGCTCAGATATTCAAGTGGATTTGTGATCTCATTGATGTGAATGTGTCCTGAAAAACACATGCTTAATATAGAAAACAGAGAAGCAATATTTTTGGAGCCCATCAGTCCTAATTCGCTTTAGCAGCTTATTGGGCAAAGGGACACTTTTAGAAGGCATTTTTGTATCTTAAAGGTAACACATAAGTTTATGAGTGTTTCCATTGCAATATTGCCCCTCTTTTATTAGCTATCAGAGTGAATAAAGAGATGGAATTTGCCACATCACACCTCTACTGCTCCAAGGGCCGAAGGAATTCCCAGAGCCCCGTGAGGAATATTAAGTGACTGATTCCACAATTATGTTATAATGGGAATCACCTTTCCCAATTTTTATTCATTTTCCTTCTTGCTGGAGATCCATTTCTCAGTTCATAATTGAGAGGTGATATTGAAAAGGTAAATCTAACATAAGACTGAATCTGGTACATTCAATTATAGATAATATATTTATTTTCTTTAAAAAAATCATGGAAATTGAAGAAAATATTGTAAATCTGACCCAAAGACTAAAATTATGGAATGGTGACAAAAGTTATGGCAATTTCTGATGCTATATTGACTCTACTCATTTCTTTTTAATTTTCACAAACTTACAAATATAACATGGTACATTGGAAAGAATAAAGTGAACAAAGTTCAATTGAAATATTAAGATATTATTTAGAGCTAAGACAAAATACAAGCTGAACAAATATTATAGCTAGAATGTTATTGATAATGATTCTTTTTAAGCATGATATTTTGTCTTCCAGACCAGAGTTCTCTTCTATTCAAATTAACCCCAGTTAAATTTATATCTATTAGAAGCCCTCAATTAATGCTCAATTGATCAATAAGTGTTTATCAAGTGCCTGCCACATTCCAAGCATTGTACCAAGACTTAGGAATAAAACAGACAAATGTGAAGCTGTTCTTGCCCTCAAGAAGCTTATGTTGTGTTGGTAGAGACTAAATTCTTGCATAAATATATACAAAATACATACACAATTAATACCAGTTATTGTGGAGGGGGTTGAGAGAATCAGGAAGTCAAATTTGAGTTGAATTTTGAAGGAAGCCATATTCTAAGAGTTGGAGGTGAAGGGTGGCGCAGTGAAACAGAAAACCAAATTTAAAAAAAAAAGACTGAAGTTCAAATCCAGCCTCACTGTGTGTCCTTGGAAAAGTCACTTAACCTCTATTTATCTCAGTTTCCTCAATTGTAAAATGGGAATGATGATGATAGTAATAGCACCTGCCTCTTAGGGTTGTTGTGAAGATCAAATGAGATGGTATTTATAAAGGGCTTGGCACAGTGCCCAGCACATAGTAGGTATAATACAAATGGTAGCTCTTCTTATTCTTATTATCATTATTATTCTGGGCAGGGGAAAGTGGTAGTGGAGGCATCCTGTGCGTTGGAGACTTAAATCAAGTAGACTGATTTGGATGCTACTGCAAGCATCCAGGAGAAAGGTGAAGAGGGCCTCAACAAGATCAATACCTGTGTGAAAG